TAAACTCTCAAGCCCCACTGTGTCCTCATAGATGGACATCTGTTGTTTGATGGAGGGGTTTAGACCACGTCTAAATGCCGCTAAGAGAGCTGTTTCATTCCATCTGCTGCTCACAGCGAGAGGACGGAAACTAACCGTATAATCGTGAATGGACATATCTGCTTGCCGTAGCTGGAAGAGTTTGTCATGCACGGAGATCGCCGTGGTAGACTTGCCAAACACCTCTCAGAAATAGTCGACGAATTCCAAAGCGATTCCACCCACTGCAGTGCTCTCCCGGATAGCAGAGACATAATGAATGCGATCTTCGCTCTGTCACTCACAAATTGATGGTGTTATAACTCGAAGTACAGTGAGCACTGGAGAAGAAAACCGCTGCAGGCGGCTGCCTCACCGGAGTAGGTCACGGGCTTGGCCATGGGACATGCGGAGGCTGATGGCGTGACGGGTAGAGGTTGTAGTGATTTGCGAAGTGCTTGGACCAATTCGGTGAAGTGATCAGCTGAGAGAGGGCTCTGTGTCTCCATCGCGAAGCTCCAATCCATTAGTAATACTTCTGTTATTTGGACTGGTCTTCTGTCACAACTGGATAAAGAGGCACACAATGAATGATGGATTCGGAGCTTCTTTATTGCCACAAACTGAAGGTATATTCAAAACGGTAAGTTCAAACATAAACAGTCACTGAAGCTCATAAACAGAGGAATATCAGTCCTTATCTTAATGCTTTCGGGGAAAGTCCACAGGAGAGTGAGAGACACGGAGCCATGGGAATCCAGACAGATAAGCGGCGAGAGCGGAGAAGGGGTGCAACCTTGAGACCAGTCGACAAGGGAATGCGGTGAGAGGCTTGATAAAGGGGTATGGTAAGTGGAATCAGGTGTCCGTAATCAGTAATCTGGTGATTGTGATATGGTGTAGGTGGTTAGTGAGGCTGGTGTGTCTGTGACACCGGGAAAATCCAAACTCAATAACAGTCCATTAGGCCAGCAGCACGTCAATCCAGGATCAGTGAGTTCTGACCAAAAAGAGGTAACCGCAACACAACTGGGCAGAAAGAAAATAGATTAAATAAAACATAACCAACTAAATAATAAGCAAAAAAGAAACAGACTAGAGAGTGGCAAAGAAACAGAACACGCTGGCAAAAAACAAGGAAAGAAACAGAATAGATATAGGAGAGAAATCAAGCAATAAAAGAAAACAGGTGTGCAGTAACGAGCGATCGCGCTGATTAGAAAACACCACCAGCTGTGCGCGAACACACGTGAAAGAACAAAACAAAGAGATCAAACCCGAGTCCTGACACTAACAGGTATTTAACAGGCCTATAATTTAAATTGTTGTACTGTATGTGGTGTCCTCAAGTTGATCAGATAGGCTGGTGAATCAACCATAAGCAGCTCATATTGTTCCCAAACTCAAAACCGTGACTCTCTTCCTGCACCTTCAAGACCTTCACCATCAGCAGCTTCAGTATGATTAGAAGTAGGTGTAGGAGTGGCTTTAGGAATTGACACAAGTAAGGACACTATAAGGCAGCATCTGTTTATAATCAATAGAATCATATACAAGAATTCAGTTCAATTCAATTTAAATTTATTTGTACAGCGCTTTTCACGATACAAATCATTGCAAAGCAACTTTACAGCAAATTAAGTTTCTACAATCATCTGAGGTCCTATGAGGGGTTGGCATCATCTCTTCTCAGGTGTTCTGGATCCAGACTGAAGCTTGTGTAAATCCATCCCGTGGCAAAAACAGAGAAACAAATAGAGACATAATTAGCATAGCTGCTGTTCTTCCAACCAAGCAAAATTTTGAAATTTTTTGAAGAATATGTTATTACGTACTGTTTTGTAATGCACTTCAATACATTGAGGTGTAAATACTATCTGACACAATTTACATTAAGCATGAATAAAATCTCAGTGACAATTTGGTTAAAAATACTGACAGTGCAATAAAGAAATATTTATCTTTCTTAAATGAGACTTTAGATGATTTATGATCTTTTTTTTTTTTTTGCTCTTTGACATTTTAAATCTCAGTCCAGTGATCCATCACACATTGATTTGTACTTTTCTCTTTACTAATGGATTCACTGCTAAACTGATCTGATCTGAGAGAGTGAAGAGTGTGTCATTGTTCTCTACAGGTTGAGTGATTGTGGCGTCACAGATGAAGGTTGTGCTGCTCTGGCTTCAGCTCTGAGATCAAACCCCTCAC